CCTTAGCTGGTTGAGCTATAGGTGCTGAGCCAGTGCCCTACTCCTTTGAGCCCCAGGCACCGCCCCATATTATCTATTTTTAAAAATAACTAGGGAAAATGTAAAGGAAAACCTATTTATTTTATTTTTTTGAGACAGATCCTTAGGCTGTCCCCCTGGGTAGAGTGCCGTGGCATAACAGCTCACAGCAACCTCCAACTCCTGGGCTCAAGTGAGTCTCCTGCCTCAGCCTCCCGAGTAGCTGAGACCACAGGTGCCCACCACAACGCCCGGCTATTTTTTGCTTGCAGCCATCGTTGTTTGGCAGGCCTGGGCTGGATTCGAACTTGCCACCATAGGTGTATGTAGCTGGCGCCTTAGCCACTTGAGCCACAGGCGCCCAGCCAGGAAAACCTCTTTAATGGTTGCTCATTACTTATGGACGTGATCACCTTTTTGTTCTACTTCTCAGTAACCTTTAGAATTTGACTTCTGTTTGCCTCTCCCCCTTCTACTCCTGCAATCTTGCCCTTAGAATTTGCTTTCCTTCTCTGGCTTGCAAAATGCATTTCTTTTGTTTGTTTGTTTGTTTTTTTTCTTAGAGACAGAGTCTTACTTTGCTGCCCTTGGTAGAGAGCTCTGGCATCACAGCTCACAGCAACCTCCAGCTCTAGGGCTTAGGCGATTCTCTTGCGTCAGCCAGCCAAGTAGCTGGTACTACAGGTGCCTGCCACAATGCCCAGCTTTTTTTGTTGTTGTTGTTGTCGCAGTTTGGCCACGGCCAGTTTTGAACCCACCACCCTTGGTGTATGCGGCTGCGCCCAGGTGCTGCCGCAAAATGCGTTTCTACCACAGCTATTTATGCTGTCACTCCTTCACTTTTGAAAATGTAGTTGAATGGCTTTCCTGATACTCCAGTGTTCTTTATTTTTCCTTTAAAGCCAAATCCAAAGTTGCCTTCATAGGCCGTGCAGTGGCTCACGCCTGTAATCCTAGCACTGTGGGAGGCTGAGGTGAGTGGATCGCCTGAGCTCATGAGTTCAAGATTAGCCTGAGCCAGAGCGAGACCTAGTCTTTAAAAATAGGTGGGCGCTATAGCGGGTGCCTGTAGTCCCAGCTACTCCAGAGGCTGAGGCAAAAGAATCACCCGAGCCCAAGAGTTTGAGGTTGCTGTGAGCTGTGATGCCACAGCACCCTACTGAGGGTGATAAAGTGAGACTCTGTCTCAAAAAGAACACAAAGTTGCCTTTCATGGGCTTTTATGTTCTTCTGTTATTTGTTCTTACACATAAGTTATGTTTATATTCCTGTATCCCTTGCTTGGTTATAAGCAAGGGCTTTAAGGGTCTGCGTGTTACATAAAATTAATGAGGATGCATTCATGTTATTGATGGTGATGTAACTGTTATAACCTTAAAAGTCTGAAAATATTTGTATTCTTTGGCTCAACAGTTTTTCTTCTATAACTTTACCTTGAACAAATAGGCAGAGATGTAACTCAAAATTAGCAACGATAGTCATTGTGGCCTTATTTATAATAGGAGAAAATTAGAAATAACCTAAATATCTGGCAAAAGGGAACTACTTAAGTATGACTAGAACTCATTCAGCTCTTAAAAATAATAAAGAATATTTAATGGCTCGGCGCCTATGGCTCAAGTGGCTAAGGCGCCAGCCACATACACCTAAGGTGGCGGGTTTGAATCCAGCCCGGGCCCGCCAAACAACAATGATGGCTGCAACCAAAAAAAATAGCCGAGTGTTGTGGCAGGCGCCTGTGGTCCCAGCTACTTGGGAGGCTGAGGCAGGAGACTCGCTTGAGCTCAGGAGTTGGAGGTTGCTGTGAGTTGTGATGCCATGGCACTCTACCCAGGGGGACAGCTTGAGGCTCTGTCTCAAAAAAAAAAAAAAAATTTAATATCTTGTCCACAACTTAATTTGTGAAATCAGTACAGTTAGATCCAATTGTGACCCAAATTGGTGCATAGAAAAAGGACTGGAAGGACATAGTCCATGACAATAGAAGTGATATTTTTTGATTTTGCATGTTTTCAGTTTTATAAATTTTTTGTTTAAAAATTAGAAAAATAAATGTTATTTCTAAAGAACAGATGAGTTTTCGAGAGCAACAAGTCTAAGTCCTATATAATAAAACCTTATTCAAATTTATCCAAATATTTTGACTTAACAAATTGAACAATTTTCAGAGAATTAAAAATGCAGTAAAGCTACACAGAACTTACTTCAGCTTTTCTTTGTTTATTGAGGAAGTGTTAGGGTTTTGTCTAATATATACCAGGATTGAGATTAGTTGTTGGCTTTGCTAAATATAGGAAAGAGTCCTAGCTAGTTAAACATTTAAACTCATGTACCAGGCACTGTTCAAAAACTTGAAATGTATTTAGATGTCAGATTGTCAAAACAACGCCATGAGGTAGGAACTAGTGAGGTAACTTGTTCAAGTTTATATAGCAGTAGCCAGGGCAGGGTACCCATTGTTGGAGTGGTAAAGAGTTTATTGGAACTAGATCCTGTGAATAAATACCAAAAGAATTTCATGTGTTTAGTTTTAGCAGTGGTCTGGGTAATATGAGTGTATGTGTTGCCAGAGCCTTAAAGCAGTAGGCTTCTGACAGAGGAAGCACTCTTCCGAACCTAGAACCTTGCATTCACAGAGTTTCTCTTTATTGGTGGGAGTTCACTAGGGTCTGGAAAGCTTGGTTATTTCTCTGGGTTAACTTTTAACCATGATTTCTTGAGGTCTTGTAGATGATATTCTCCAGATTCTCAGAAGGAAGTCAAGAGTTAAGGAGACTTGGAGAGGAACCTTTCTTAAAAGACAACAATGACAAGAGAAAATTGGGCCCACAGTGCTCTGAGACAAGAAGGTCTTGTGAAAGGAAAGGATGATACCTGGAAATGGGGAACCAGCTTCCAAGGTAGCAGCTCTTCTGTTTGGGAGACCTCCCACCTGCACTTTAGACAGTTACGTTACCATGAGACATCTGGACCCCAGGAGGCTCTGAGCCGCCTCCGGGAACTCTGTCGCCGGTGGCTGAGGCCAGAAGCACGCACCAAGGCACAGATCTTGGAGCTGTTGGTGCTGGAGCAGTTTCTGAGCATCCTTCCTGGGGAGATTCGGACCTGGGTGCAGCTCCATCGCCCTGGGAGTGGCGAGGAGGCTGTGGCCCTGGTAGAGGAGCTGCAGAAAGACCTTGATGGACCAGCACTAAAAGTGAGGAAGGTGGGGAGCGGTGGGGCCTGTTGGTATGGAGGGAAGGAAAAAATTGAGACTGGGCCGCTGGGCGATCTTGTGATTTTCGTTAATAATTAATAGCATACTAATTAGCAACACTAATACTAATTCAAGCAGGTTCATGGGCTATTTAGACTGTAGAATATCTCTACAGAGAAATGGATTTGTGATGGAGGTCTTTGAGCCCAACTCAGAATCAACACAAAAGCATCAACTTTGTTTTCTCCCTGGTGATTCTGCTAATGCTGAGTTTGGTTCAGAGAGCGGAAGAAGGTAATGTTTATAAGAGTTTGCTTAAACAGAAGCATGTGTATTGTTTCTGTAAGTCTGTTTGGAATGGCCACGTGCCTGGAGTATAAAAGGCAGTGACATAACAAGAATAAACCTTTCCAGACCTAGCTTGTGTGCCCCTGCTGGGGTTTCTGCAAGCCAAATGATTGGGTTGAGATAATCTTTCTGATTAGATTTATATCCTTGACCATTAGATTGGAATCTTAAGATAGCCTCTTGTGTGTGTGACTTTTTTTTTTTTCTGTAAATCTGTAGACCACTGAAACATCTGCTTTGTAAGAAGTCTGAATCATAACTCACACTTGGGAGTGGCATAAAGGATGGGTTGGTTTGTTTTAATCATAACAAGGAAGAATTTTAGAGCCATATATTTCATTATAAATTATCCATCTTTCTCATTTGAGATAAGAAAACTGAGGCAGACATCTAGCTAGCTGCAAAGCCAAGTGTCTCAGTGCCTACTCTATTATTACTTGAGTTGGAGCAGGGATAGGTAAAAGGATAAATGTCTCAGTGCCTACTCTATTATTACTTGAGTTGGAGCAGGGATAGGTAAAAGGATAAATAAGTAGAAAAGATGTGATTTAACCCAAGTCTGATCTAAAACTAAGTCTGAAGCTAAAGTCTGTTCTCTTAATTACTGCTTGTTACTTCCCATTCCCTCCTTAACCCACACCCAGGTCTGGCTTCTGTTCCCATCGTTCTGTACAGTCTCCTCTGGGAGAGGTCACCAGTGCCATGAGTGGGGCTAGAGGGCACCTCCATTGTTCTCAATGCAAAGCTTTACTGCTGTTTTGATGCTCCATACTTGAGGTGGGTCTCTTGGATCACACAGTTCTAGATTGTGGGAAGAAAGAGGTCCATGGTGGTTAGGTGAGTCTATTTTCTGGAGGTACAAGAAGAGCCAGCTTATTTTGTTTTGCTTATCTCCAGGTTCCAGTCTTTGTCAAGGATCAGGAAATTCTTCAGGAGATGAGCACTCTAGGAACAATACCTCCTATACCCACTGGCAGTCACATAGCAGCTGAAATTTGCCCCAGTCTTACTGAACAAATGGTGTTCAACCTCCAGGATCCTCAACATGGTACTTACTCAGTGGCCTTGGCTTTGGACTTTGCCAGGACCCTTTCTGTGTCCCTACATCCAGGGAGCTGCTTCTTATATAATAGAAATCTCTTACAGTGCTGGTTTGTTTTTGCTGTTCTTGCCATTCTCTCACTTGTCCTTTCCTGGGTTCCTTTGACACTGTATCCATTGTTATTCCTACTCTTGGTGTTATTCCAGCTCTGCATGGGGGAGTTACTCAGCAAAGGTGTGTAGATCTCTTTCCTTTTTTTTTTGAGTCAGAGTCTTACTTTTTTTTCCTCTGTAGAGTACTGTGCTGTCATAGCTCATAGCAACTTCAAACTCTTGGGCTTAAGTAATTCTCTTGCCTCAGCCTCCTGAATAGCTGGACTACAGGTGTCCACTACAAC